CTTTAGAATTGCAATATATATTTGAAGGGTGATTGGCAGCCCTGCCTACTGCAATGGCACTGCATCCCGCGCGAGCCGCGATGGCGTTTGCCCTAGCGGTCGCGCTGGATGAAATTTTTGATAAGATATGTTCAATGCTCAGTGGCAGAGATTGAGCGTGTGGGCCGACGCGGCGCGGCCCATGCCGCCGGAAGTGCGGCCGACTTGCCGTTTCGCGGGTGGCTTCAGCCCTGATACTACAATGGGTTACATATTGGCTATGTAAGCGGTCGTGAGCGGTCGAGCAACACGAGCGGCGTTGTCCTTGTTCATTTTTATAATATAAGGCAGCGGTGTGACTAGAAATTCAGTCGGAGTGCAAAGCGCGCACAATTTGTCAAGTATGTGGTCTTTATAAGCGATTGGGCTTGGCCGTTTGTTATAACTCGCGAAATTGGCGACGCATTTCAAGTAACGGTACGAGGGGTCAGCGTTTGACGAAATTGAACCCCCCCCCCCTGGTCACTTTAGACTTTTCGTCCACTTTACCGGTAACGTACCGTTACCACGTCCGAACCGACCACTTTTTCCAAAAAAGTTTCAACGTAACGTAGCATGTGAACTGGCTATAACACAGGCTGGGTGTTCAAGTTATCATACGCCGTCATCTCAGATTTCACTTAGGAGATACGCGGCACCTTTTGAGATTAAATTTAGCCCGAGAGGCGTTGATGTGACTTTGACCTCGGTCAAGTCAATGGAGACAGCCAAACTTGTTTGTGCTCGTACGATTTTTGTTGGCTACAGGCGAAATACCTTGCATAGCGAATGCAATATATTACCAATAACGCGTTTCAGCCGGGCGAAAATTATGTTTGGTCTGTTACACACACACAGCCACACGGACATGGGCAATCCTACAGAACGGGGCCCCCTGGCGCTTCGCGCTGTGGCCCCGCCCCAAAACGGCAACCGCTCATACAAACGCCAGGCATTATCCGCACTAAAAGCCAAAAACAAAGAAGAAGACGGGGCGACAGAAACCTGCAAACGCTCCCGACCTCTGCGGGATGCAGCCAACAAGACATTGCCTCCTGCGGCTGGGAAAGCCCAACAAGTCATGAACGGTGTTAACGGCGCTGAAATGTGGCTGTGCAGTGCGGGCCTGAACGGTACCTTTAGCCGCTAGAAACTGAACCCACAGGAGACCCGCATAGTGAGAGGCCGGCAGGAACTCCAAGCCCTCAACCACACAAAAACGCACAAAGGACGCGAAGAGGGACTCATAAGAACGCCACATCTTGGCGCCAACGCGCGACATAACGACCTGCGCAATCTGAACAAGGCGCGCAGAATGGTCCTGCCCAGGGGCCAACGACTGAACTGCGAAACGAGCAAGCTAGTAATGACCGGAGGTGCTGCCACCTTATTGACATCAAGCACGTAATGGGGCGCCACACTACCAACCTCCCGCGGGCCACGCAAGAGTGCCCAATCTACCGCTGCATTCTGACCACCACGACTTCCCAACTCGGAGGGGGAAGGAAGACCCTCGAGCCCCCCTCCCCGACGCGAACAACTCGGTGCTCGACGGCAGGAAGACCAACTCCACTGCTAGCTCCATTAGCTGCTGCCACCACGGTCCTGTAAGGCACCACCAGGGTAACACACGCCCGCTCTTCTCAAACCTTCCGCACCACGGCCAGCAGAAAATCGGGGTCCAGAGGCGGGCATCCATATGCATTGAGGCCCGCCCAGGTTTGAAGTAACGCATCCACTCCTGCAGTACCAGGGCAGTGGTGTCGCGAAAAGAAGCGCGGCAAATGTGTATTGATATGCGTGGCAAACAGGTCAACATCGTGCGTCAAACCGAAATAGCGCGGATGCAACCTGTAGTCATCTCTATCCGTTCAGAGGGTTGCAAAGATTGGGGATTGGGGGCAGGTACTGGTCAGGCGGGATAGGGAATAGGGTGACGACGTCAGGATGGGATGTGGGGCCCAAGGCAAGGATTAGGGATTATGCGTGCTATACTACTTTTAGGATGGGAATTGCTGTCGGGGTGAGGATGGGGATGGGAACCCTGTCAGAGGGATGGGGATTGAAACCTTGATCAAGGATGGGATTGGGAACCCTGGCCAAGGATGGGGATGGGACCCTGGCTGATAGGATGGGGATTGGAGGCTGTCACAGGTTTAGGATGAGCTCGCTGCCATAGGGCGAGGATTGGGGACACAGGAGGATTAGGATGGGTAGTTCTGCTGTAAGGTGATTTTGCAGGTGCAGAATTGGGAATACTGGCAGGACTGCAACAGACCAAGGATGGATCGTGTAGTTGTCCATAGTTGCTTACTTGGTGTGCTGTTACTTATGGTGCATCTCACAGTGTCTGCTGAAAGTGTTTAAATGGTGGCCAAAGCCAGTACCAAACATGCACGTTGTCATGGTCGATTTTGCTCACACACTTCAACTCATGGGTCAGCAATATGGTAAACCAAACACCGAGAGATGTCTTCACAAAGCAAGGCACCCCTGCCCAACAGCACCATAATCAGCTGTCCAGGTATAGCCCATGCCCATGTTCACCAGCACCACATCGGGCCTCCCATTACCCACTTGACACACATGAGCACATCTCACCAAAAGCGGCCCCTGCAGGCTGCTCCACTGCTGTCTGCCAAAAGCCTGGCCATCATCAGTGCATGCACCAACATCAGCCATCTCACCAGGCCGCCATGCATTCATTTGTTAGATCTCTGCTTATAAGTCGCGTCCCATAGCAAACCATACACAAACACAAGGAAGTTCTATGAGTTGGCAGCACTGAATCTAGGCTGGGGAGTCTAACATCAGTGTCGTCCATGCAATTTTGCTTCACACCAAATGGCTTGCACTAATTGCAAACAACACAACCAACCCTCACCCCCTACCCTGGGGGGGACAGTGCCCACAAATTCATGCCTGGCACGCTCCCAATGCGACTAAACAAGGTGACGAACCTTTCAACGGCAGGGCCCATATAGGCAATGACACTGCCGTGTGGATTCTGCACACTGGCTCCCCATTGAAGCTCATCACTAGTGCCCACCTGCTGGACAAACGAAAGGCGCTCCTGGAGAAAGCACACTGGCCAGTTCAGCACATCATTGAACCAGCTGTAGCCTAAACCTGCCTTCAATAGCACCACGGGCTGCCTCACATTCCCCGCCTGATACACCCACACACATCTCGCAAAAAATAGCCCTTGGAGGCTGTGTCCTTTCCGGTGCAGGTTATAACATTTCATCGCCATTCATTGCCCTCTGCCAGCCCATCCGTCGCCTCATCGTATATGGAAGTGGCATGCACCCGCGTGTTTGCAGCGGCACAAGAACACGGATCCATGTCGATGCAGCCCGGTGCAAAAAGCTCGTGCACCAGGTCCAAGATGAAATCTGGCATGTACCATTCCTATGTATTGCTTTGGATGAACAGACACAGGCCGCCATATTGCAGCGCCATATTGCAGCGCCAGTGCAATAGGTGCAGCCAATGCTTGCCCTCGACGTGGGTCTTGGACTTCACCCGGCCCGTGCATTTCGACTCGTCAACCATTGCAGGATATCCTATTTTAATTACATGGGCATGAGACAGGCATGGAAAGCGACTTGGTGAAAATGAGGAGAGACGTGAACCGGTCGTGCACTCCGCCAGTTCCACAGTCAGAACAACATTCTTACCTTGTCCGGCCCACGCACATCCACGGCACCAACGTATGCGCCAACATATGCCTTAACAGAGGAGATAATGAAAGATCGTCGAGCTGTTTTGACAAACATCTGTTCACGGATGACCGACCCTATTTGCCTACACAACCATGCTAACAGGTTTCCAAACTACTTCATCAACAAGCAAATCGCCTCCTGCTAGCAAAAGATAAATAGGCCCAGTCATTCGTGAACAGTCCTTTGTAGTTTGCGCTTAACAAAGTGTTCGCTTTCCAAGGCAGAGCTTGGGACACTGTGAACAAGGCCAGAACGTTTGTGAGTATCCTGCAGTCCCTACTGGCCGGTGTAATCCCATGCTGGCCGGGAAGACGGCCGGTCACATCATGCCGTACCGCATCCCGAAGCCACTATGCACAATGCTGAGAAAATTTCCAGTCTTCATTATTTCGTTGTGGCACAACTCCACGCAACTCTGCGCATGGGACAAAATGTCGTAGTACATAGGAGCAAATCTTGCGCAGTTGTCCAAGTCGACTCAAAAGCATTCCAATCGGAACGCCTGGCTTATCATAAGCTTATCGGGCTGTTTGTCATTGCGCTTTGGCGCATTTAACGTGGAATATTGGTGCCCGACTGTGCAGCATATTGGTGCACGCGGTCCCTCTTCATCATCATCCCGCGTTCCAAACCATGGACATTTTGACAGAACACCCTTGTTTGTTCTGCCATATTAACCACAGCATAATAATTTGCTGTTGTGGCCATCCATCGAACATAACTCTCCTTCCTCCGTTAGGACGACGCGCTATGTGCATTAACAGCCAGTGTGCAAACAGATACATAGACCTCTGTGCTGCGAGTTCTCCTTCGGCCGAGATCCGCTTCAAAGAGCGTTTGTCGCTTCAGTCTGCTTCGGAATTTGACGCTAGAGGAAATAAGCCACAGAGCAAGAGAAAACACCTCGCGGAAATAGAAAGTAACCCTGGTCATTCCCCTGATTTACGCCTAAAGAGAAAACCGATATTACAGCACCTGTGTAAACGTAAGGCGTAGGTTTGTAGCTGGCAAGGGATGTTGATGGGACCCTGGCTGACAGCTTTCAGTTGTGAACACAGCTGCAGGATGGGGATGGCCCTGGTCGAAGGGATGGGGAAGGGACCCTGGCTGGCAGGATGAGGATTGGGGGGACACAGCTGTAGGATGGGATTGGAAACCCTGGCCGAAGGGATTGGGGATGGGACCCTGGCTGGCAGGATGGGAAACCTGTCTTGAGGGATGGGATTAGCACCGGCCCTTAAGTTGGGGGATGGGAGTCGGTCAACCCTGCCAGGATGGGAGGATGGCTGACCACTACCCATCCCCATGATTGGGGGATTAGACCCCTTTTGCACCCCCCGCTGGCTGTCGAAACACCTGCAGCCTGCACTAGATTTATTGCTCAATGCCCAGCCTTCAGCACAATGGCTTTGAGAGACCTTGAAATGGTGAACGATGCTTCCCGAGATACCAAGATACTGTAGGTTGTTAACATGTACATTTACAAAAATATCCTAAGAGGACAACGAATAAGACCAGTAGGCCCATGTCCATAGTCCAGGGCAATGGAGGGGTTTACCCTGGGGCCGTGTTACTGCGCCTGCTGGGTAGCGGTCGGTTACCCTTTTCCCAGCTGTTAAGAGGAGCGCTGACAATACTCAGGTAGCACACCATGCAGCATGCACCATATGCACCTTGCTGAGGAACAGTACAATGTGCCGTGGATAAAAGCCCTGGCCATAGAAGGCTGTTCAAGCAGCTGTCAGCAATCCAACTGGTCGCAGCATCATGTGCAGCATATGTCCACCGAACAACAACACGTGCATTGCCACCTTTCCCCGAATACCAGAGGATACCAAGCCGTCATTGCCTCACCAACCAATATCCGTGATATTCCACTCCCCAAGCCGTGCATCCCATACACGGATAATAGCTGCTTACATCAACGAAGCACATCCTGGATCGTTTGCAGCAAGGTGAACCCTTCGAGCATGCGCTGCTGCCATGCAAGGTGCAAGAGCAGCAACCTTCCATGACTGCTCGTTGCAGCCACATTCTGAGTTGCCCCATCCAGCAGAGCGACCTGGCGGACATGAAATGCTACAGCACACTCAACTTCATCCTGAATCAACGCCAACTCCTCCTTGCACCGTGCTTCCTCCTGCAGCACCCGGCGCAAGCTTGCCTCCAATCGTGGCACCCCATGATTTGACTGTGCAGCCCAGGGATACCGCTGTGCATTTAGCGCCTGGCCTAGCGTTCCTTCATGGCCAATGCCTGCCCAAGCTCCGGTGTCACCGCTCCAGATACAGCACTCCAGCTAGTAAGCTGCTCCCAAAGCTGCACAAACCATTGCCTCGCGCGCCTTTTCTCCTTAATGGCCAGCTGCTGCTGATGCCGCCGCCCACCGAGTCGCCGTACCACGTGCTCCAGGGCATGCATTGTCGGCTACGGCATCCTGATGGGTTGGGTCAGGGAAGCGGGTCAGGAAAGGGTGCAACATCGAGAGAGGGCCAGAGCCGCGGTGCAAAAGTGGGCCACGGTGGGAGAGAAGTTAAATCTTTTCCAAGCAAATACAAACTTGGCTTGCAGCCTATCAACCGGGGTTTGGGGACCTTGGGTGATGCTCGATCCCAGCACACAACACTCGGCTGGAACAGACAAGGAACCAAGAGACAAGGAACCAAGGGTCCACATGGCCCCGTTGCATGAAGACCCTACAACCTCGCAGACTCACCTACACCTCCGCAAAAAGCTTCCGCAGCTCTCCCTTCGCCAGGCTCCCCAGCGCCGCACTCATAAGCTCGGACTCAGGTCCCCAAGCAGCAGGGTCATAGCGGGGCTTCTCAAGATCGGCAGCCTGGGTTTTTGTTGTACGGATAAGGGCTGGGCGCTGCCTACCCAGCACAGAGTCAGCACCAGGGAAGAGCAACCCAAGCCGCACCGCATCAGAGCTGGCTTCGAGGGTGTCCTCCCGCTGCAGCTTCTGAAGAGTGAACCGGCAGAGAGCATACTCAGCCGCTGGGCTGGCAGGCACCATGTCAGCTGCTTCCAGCTGCCGAGGCTGCTGCTGGAGGGACTGCTGTACCTGCACATGTAAGGATACGTTGGCATTACGATTTCACTGCTAAAATACCGCTTGCTTACCACAGCTGCATCACCGCCCTTCTGCTCCAACGCGGCCCCAAGGACACAGATGTGATGTCTGGCAATGTCCAGGGCAGCTTCAGCCCGAGTCCGCATTCACCACAACCTTGCCGGTAAATCCCTTACGACATCCCTGCAGTACAGCCGCGCCACGCGGTCCAAGTGCTCTTTCCTAGTGACAGGGTGCATGTATTGTGCGATACGGCCATGCGGACCGGCCACACTGTTGAATATCTCTGCTGCCTCGCCCGTCCCCTGTCCCACACCGTGCATCCTGCCAAAGGTGCCCAAACGCTTTCTGGCATGCGTAACTGCAGGGCAAAGGCAAACACTTATTAGGAGACGCACAAAGCCCATACGGTGCTAAACACGCACCTGTGAGCATATCGGTGCCAGGGAGGAATGAGTGGGCGCATGCCTCTGCCCAGCCACTGCAGGTCTGTGTCTGGCATTCCAGCCACTTGGCATATGACTTGCCCCATCTGTAAAAGTACAACGTGTGAGATGTCCACACAACAACAACCACATATCGTGCCTCAGAAGAACTTACCTGCACGCGATACCCTACCACCAGCACTGTACAGCGGTGCCAGCTGCAAGGACGGACAGCGCTGCAGCAGTGGAGTATGCGTGCCGCTGCAGCAGTGGAGTATGCGTGCAGCAGTGGAGTATGCGTGCGTGCTCATACCATGCCGGCATAACACGACACCGACAGCCGTGATGAGGTTCTGCAATTGCAAGCCCCGAAAGTCATAGAGAAATCCAGGTGCCAGCCGTCCAGACGCAACATACCCTTCTCGATTCCGCAGCCAGGACCTGCAAGGCAGAGGGTTGGACAGCGGCAGCACGGCACAGCATGGCAAAAAGGTGGATGCCGTGAAGTGCGTGGCGTAGTAAGCACATGGTGATTGGGGGAAAAGGCAAAGGCTGCTCACTAGAAACACGCCTTGGCTTCCGACCCACACCCAACTTGTTAGCATCAAAGTTCGAGCAGTGCGGCACACCAATCTGCTGTGACACGTGACCATCCAAAAGCACCTGCTGTATCGATGCGTTGGGCAAGAAGTAGCAGCGCCGCCCTAGCTGTGTGTAGCCAGAAACGTAGCCCTTATGGGACAGCAGGTTTAGCTTAAAGCAGGCATCGAAATGTACCGAGTGCAAGCTCGTGGGGCCGGGCCCTGTGGCTTCAGGGCTGCAGGTGTCCCGAAGCAGCCAGTCAATCGACGCGAGCACTCCGCCCCTAGCACTTCAGCGCCCGTGGGCATCGCTGCCGCCATGGTTCCCAGGGCTGCTACGCCGGCTGACGGGACTGGGGGGACGGGAT